GAAAAGTGAATATTATACCGGATAGAATGCGCTTTCTCACGCATTTTTGTAAATAGAAATATTGAGCAGAAGATATTTTGTAGGAAAAAATCAATAGATTGCGATTTTTATGAATGCTTTCGAGAATTATTGGGATGCTTTCCAACCTGCAAATTTCAATTGTGTTGAGGTTTTTATGTTTTATGTTGTTATCAACATTTAAAAGGCTTTGAAAAATTGTTTTCAATTACTTTCCAATTTTATTACTCACAAAATGGAAATTATTTGGATTTTTGAATGTTTGACAAAATTCGGTTTTTAGAAGAGGTAGAAAACATTTTCGAGTTTTTACACTGAACTTATATTGAGTTTATTTGGCACTTTTGAAAAGAACCAGCCAGGTACTCAGAACAAGTAATTTTTTTGTCTCAAGTAACAAAAGTACTTGTGACAGGTTCTGAGGTACTTCTCACTAGTACACTGGTACTTGGCGCATGTTACTTGCATCAAGTTGTTTTGTAACTTCGAGGAAGTAAAAAAATGTGCCTTTTCCCCAGAAACCTCTTGGTACTGGGTACAAGTACTTTTTCTATTGACCAAAAGGAATTTTCTTTTGGGTATAAAGTTTAAATTACATGGAAAACAGAATGTTATATGCAATTTTTTAACTTTAAAACACGCAGATGAGCTGTGGAATTCCTCGACACAATCGATCTTAAACTAATAAAAAATTCAATAGAACTTCAATAGAATTTTCTGGCCAAGTTTTTCTATGAGATTTCTTCGTACATGGGGATCTCCATTGTTGAAAAATTTTGTAAAATCGAGGGAGATGGTGTAACTGGTGTTATCCAAAGCAATTCCCGTGTGATCATCGCCACCCCATCGCACCAGAAAGCCCTCGAAATCGCTAGCAAGTGGTAGACCCCATTCCTAACGCTCATAAATCATAATTCCTACGTTGTATCCCCCTTTTTCAACGGCCTTATCGTTTGTTATCAAGTTTGTGAGAATACTCGAGGAAAGGAACGGGAACGGAATGGGATTTGCATCGATATTCTCGATGGAATTATTGGAGTGACGTCAGAATGTATGAATAATGGATTTCACGCAATCCGAGGTATGAATGGTAAAAAAATTTGAAGGTATCGAGGTTTATTCAGAAGTATTTTCCGGATTGTGCTGAGTGTGCATTTTCATCGAATTTAATTACCATTGAAATTTCCAGGAATTTCGTCATTGAAAATTCAGAATTTCGTGGAAAAATTGAAGAGAACTGTAAATTTCGGTTCTATTTTTCCCTGAAAATAAATAGAAAACCAGAAAATCCCGGTAAATATATTCTGGAATTTTCAAGACAGTGATACTGAATGCGATTTAGGGGGAAAAAAATCATGAAATTTATGATTTCACTGAAAATTCAATGTAATTTTAGACTGGATATTCGTATTAAATTGGAAATTCAAATAAATTGAGGAATTTTCATCTTTATGCTGCTTAAAATTCTGAAATTTTACTAAATTTTCTGTGAAACCTGAAATTTTATGATTTTTTCCCCTAAATCGCATTCAGTGTGTCACTGTTCTGAAAATTAGTAATCAACTTTCCATGAAATTTCATTTTTTTTTCAAAGTGTAGAGTTATCTCGCTGATAAGTAATTTCAGGCAGTGACGGCGCGAGAGACTTCGCGAGACATCACGAGACAATGCTTTGGAGGGATCGTCTCGGTCTCAGCGAATATGGAAATTTTTCGGTCTCGTCTCAGTCTCGACTCCGAATTCATTTCTCAAAATACTTATGTTCTCCATTTTCTCAAAAAAATCAATTAACATAAGAATTGACAGCACATCAAACAAAGCTTGACTGCCATTCTAACAAATCCATAAATAAAAACAACCCCCTTCTCTTCCGATATTTAAAAACATTACTCTTCATTCATTATATTTTTATTTCCAATTTCTGTCAATTTAAATAAATATGACAATGACAATTATAATAATCATAGAGGTCAGTACACTAATGATCTGCAGTAGTGGGACAAATTGTAATATGGATACAAGTGATTAGAATAATAATTCAGTTGCGAATGAAATTCACAATTTATAAAAAAGATTGCGAATTTTCAACGAAGTAATGCACAACTTGAAAAATTTGAAGACTCATATATGATCTCAAATGGATGCGCGTTATTTGCCATTTGATTAGCTTCATCCCGAAAGATTCACGAATAATGAAAAAAATGGATTTTCTGTTCTAGCACTCGATGGAAATGGACCACGAGCTTACGATATCCCTCGGGATAATCCTCGTTATCGGTGGGATAATGATAACCGCATTACTAGTCTGCTATGCCTGTATATTCCGAGATTTATGCTGCCAACGTGTCGACAGAGCAAAGAGACGCAGGGATGGAAGACACAGTCCAGGGTCTGATGACATTATCCGAGCTAGGATGGATGCGATTCAACTCAACGATATCACACAGGCCGATAGTATGCCCACGGAGTCGGAAAAAATTTGAATAATGGAAGAGAAATTAAATACATTTGAAATAGCGTAAAGACTATTGTATTCGATTTTTCATCTTTGACATTTTACTATTTTCTGCAAATCCCTTGGTAAAATGGAATATTTTGTATTCTTCACGAAGTATTTGTTGTGATTTTGAATAATCGAAATTGTTAATGAATAAAACGAGTAGGTTTATCCCCCTCCATGAAATTAATTGGTCAGAATTATTTTCCAAATTGAAACTTCGAAAGCCATAAAAATTGTAATTTCAAGGATAATTGACTCCGAGGAGGATTAATTTTAATTTTCAAGCGAATATTTTTGATTTCTGAATCAAAGAAAACTGAATGAAGTTCCAAATTTTTAAACAGCGGACGATGAAGATTTTCCAAATCAATTGTTTTCATTTCATATACATCTTTTCAATCTTTAAAAAGAATTGAATTACACTCTGGAGAAGAGAACATTGACCATTATCATTATTCACAAAGAGTCGGGAGGGGGGGGGGGCGGTGTGTGAAATTTATCTGCGCATTGCAGTCGTTCATCCTCTCGTTTCCTCAAATTGAGGAATATGTTAATAATGTTCAATAAAACCTAATTTGAATCCAATATCAGTGGAACTATAGTGTGATAAAAAGTTCCAAGAGTCCCAGAGAAAAAAAATTTTGGATTCCAGTGAAATTTTCACTAATTCTGAGAGAAAAAAATTCTATTTTCCTACAGTGCTATAATACAGACCTGATTGTTCCGGATCTAGCATTTTAACCTTCTGTTAAGCGTTTAAATACTCATGCGTCAAGTACGTTGCACATAAACGAAGTGCCTGCGACGGTGACCTCGTGCTACTGACCGCCGACCCTTTGACAACAGACATGCATTCACCCATAGGTATAAACGCCAGGCTTGACGGGACCGTATCCGTAGCTGTATGTATGTGTACAGCTTGATAATACCGTCGTTTAAAGTCTTTTCTCGTCAAAATTACACAGAAATCGAGCAATTACCTGCCTTAAAACCTCCACCCTCTGGTTAGAGGGAGCACTAATTGTGCAAAGAGGACGGCAAAAATTTGTATCGCTTTTTTTGCGGAACGGTTTTCGGATTGGAGGAAAAAAAAAATCTATAATAAAAAGGAGATGGCCAAGACGGGTCACGCGTTCATTTTTCCAGAATTTTTTCGCGTTTTCGCACTAATAAATTGTTAAAGCATCAGGACACATCACTCATAATGATGTGGGCATGTTTGTTATCTATCTTTCTATAACAAAACGAAGATAGCCAAAAGGTGTCACGCGTTTATTTTTTCAGAATTTTTTCGCGCTTTCGCAATGATTAATAGAGAATATACACAAACGTTCGAAATATTGCTCATTAATTAATAATTAATTGTTAAAAGTTGAAGATTCTAACCACTTTGAAATCGCTAATGATGTCACATAGGCGGTTGAGTGTTGGACCAATCACAGAATGGCTCGAGCCAACCTAACCCAATCTTGAGGTGCGCCTCGGCCAATGGAGGACAGCAATGCCTCCCTCTTTTCTTTTCCGACCAATGAAGCGTTACCTAACCGTCTTCGTGACGTCATGATTGAAAAAATGGCCTCGAAAAAGACTGATTTTCAGTTAATTATCATAAAACATCTAGGCATTATACCTCCATAATTTTCGCCGACTAGCTATAACATATGAGGAATGTGTGCACAGGGGAATTCGAAAGAATTGAGCTTCATGCATGTTTCTTATTGTCAAAGCATCAGGACAGATCGATGGCTCTTAATAAAGCAGGTATTTCAATTCTTTTCCTAATAAAGCAGGAATATTTTAGTTTCTAAGTCTCATCGAATTTGGAAATCATTTAATATCTTTTCCAAGATTTCAGACGATTTTTAATATGAATTTTGAAATACCCTTGTCTTAAAATAGTATATTTCGTCACTAGGCCGAAAAAATCTTTTATGACGAATATGAGTTTGCAGCTCGAGCCGAAGGCGAGGGCTGTAATCATATGAGCTAGAAAAGTTTTTTTTGACCGTATGACGGCGCTCCGCGTCCGTAAATCTCTGCCTACGGCCGTCATGACAAAAATTAAATTTAAATACCTTTGTTTTATTAGGAAACATCGACGTTACTCCTGATGATGCGGGCATGTTTGTTATCTATCTTCTATAACAAAAAGGAGATGGCTAAAATGTTCGCCGCGTTTATCTTTTCGGATTTGTTTGCGTTTTCTATCGGCTATATTCTCTATAATAAAACGAGATGGCAAAAATGTGCCAAGCGTTTATTTTCTTCTCTCTTCTCTACAATAAAAACGAGAGTAATAAGAATATTTCTTATTATTGACGGAAATTGTTCGATATTCAGGTCTAAATGTTCTGCAAAAATTTTTATCAATTATTCAATGTCCATTCTCCTGATTAATGTGAATTATATGGGAATGGGAAATTGTAGCGCGGATTTGATCTCGTATTTTCAAAAACTGAATGAATGCGAAAATAGGTTCAAATTATGGGTAACGTTCTTTATAGACATTTATTCATAGCTACAAAATGGCAACTTGTGGATTATTAAAAAATGGTATTTTACGAACATTACTCCAAAGTTGAGACACCGCATAACAAACACATTCATCGAGAACTCATGGTCTTCTCGTATTGCGTACAAAATGATGTTTCGTTTGGATCATATTGTCAATCTTTCACTCAACTCCGATGACTATTCGCTCACATACCCGTAATCACATCGTCTAATTCCTCCATTCTCCTCCATCTTCTTGGCCTTTTGATTCTATCGATGTATTCATGCATTCATTCTTCCACTTAATATAATTCCAACTTGGTAACTCTTTTTAATTATGTTTTCACACTTTGTTGGGCAAAATTGGAAGATTCTCGTTTCAATTTTGATTGAGGTAAGTAACAACCTCGGTTCTACATCATGGTTATCTCTTTTGACTAGCTGATTTGATTGTTGAGCTGCTGAAGAACTGATAGTACCACTTCTCGCATTGTCTAAAGGGTTGGAATAAAAATAAAAAAATGAATTCAGAGAAAACAAAACGTTGGGGAATGATTTGGGATAGATTCATTGATATCTTCGTGGTAAATTATTTCGTAGACTACAACAAATGCCTAACATTTCCGGATAAACGTATTTGATTCAAAGATGTTGACGAAATAATCTTCATCAAAACTTGAAATTAGATATTTTTTCTCAATATTTCAATGCTCCAATTATTTCGGCAATTATTAATTTCAGTAGAAAATTTTAGAATAAAAAAATGTCTATTGGAATGTTTCTCTAGATTTACTAGTTTCAAAGGTGGTTGTAAAATAATCTGGCATATCAGGAGTACAATTGTAAGATAGAATAAGTGGATTGGACTTCATTTTAAGTTACCCATGAATATGAAAAAAAAATCATAGAAAAACCTAGCGATTTTTTTGCTGATTCTATTGAAAAATTTCACGTTTTATTGCAATAGAAATGTTCAATGGAGAATGTTCAGTAGAAAATATCAATAGAATTCGATTTTTCTGCACAACTTATTCCATTGAAATATTTTGTACAGTAATTCCTCAGCTCTAATTTTTTAAGTTGTTTTGTGTGATTTTTATAATGAAAACAAGAAAAGAATAGAGTGGAAAAAACTTAGAAAATTCAAGTCAAGGAATTCCTACTGAAAATATTTCAGTAGAAAAATTTATATAGAAAGATGAAATTCTACGGATTTTTTTAGGAAATCGTTTCTATTGGACATTTCAAATACAAAAAAAACGCTCTAAGCTGTGCAATTTTTCAACAGAGTCGACCAAATCTAATAGAGTTTTTAATAAAAGTTCAATAGAAATCCTATAGAATTTTCTATAGAATTGGCTAGATTTTTCTATGAAATTCTCTTGTACATGCAAGTGATAAAGTTCATTTTTTAACAACTCCATTATTGGTATCATCATTACCTGTGGTTTACAATGTTCCTCCAACCAGCTGAATACACATCCTGATAATTCAGCGAAATTTGCCACAGAAACATTATTAAATGTTTGAAAAAGGCGATCCATAATTGCCTGGAACTAAAATAAAAAAGAAGGAATTGAGAAATTTTCTTTAAAAATAAATAAATATCAGAACGATTCTGTTTTTCGACTGATTAATTAGTGAAGGATGAGAAGATGCTGTACCACTTGAAATTTAGTTTCATCGGAGACCCTCATCTCAGCCTGTCCAGGCTGCGTCTGATGGGCTTTAACAATCTGCTCGTAATTAGCCTGCATAATTCTGAGAGCGACAACCTCCTTCCTCAGGGCATTCCTCTCCTCCTCCTGCTTCTTCTTCTGCTGAAGTAGAAATTGTATGTAATCAATGGATTTCTGGAGGACAGTGGCCTTGGAGAGCTTGTAGCCAGAGGAGTCAGTGTGCTGACAAGTTGGAACTAAATCTTGAAGGGAATCGTAGCCTTTTTTAATAGCATCTCGACGCTTTTGTTCTGCTTGAGTATGGGCTTCTCGACGTCGCTCCTTGTAACTTATTGTGGAACTTTTGTTGTCACTGTCTTCATCTTCTGCAATGAAAAACATAAGTCATAAGTGAAATCTCAGTTAATTATACATTTACCTCGAGATTGCATAATTTGAATGAAGCTGAAACTAGCGAAAGATTCAACAGCAGAAGATTTGTCTTAGGCAAATCTAGGAGTGTACAAATATTTTTAAGTAATGTACAAACTCTTTCGCACTTAAAAAACATTTGTACATATGATTATTTAACTTCCCTACACCTAAATACCGCCTAAATTGAATTTTCCGCTGACGAATATTCTGCTAGTTTTAGCTTCATATAGTTTGAGAAAAGAGGGACCTTTTGTATGAAATTTAATCAACATCAAAGCAACTCGGTGGCTTGGCGCAGTGGGTAAGTTCGTTGCCTCACATGCGAAAGGTTCCAAGTTCAAATCCCGGCCGGGTAGAATGGTGCGATCTAACCATTTAAAGTCTTGATCATCATCGCAGTATACCCTAACCGGGTCGAAGCGATGTAAAATAACAATAAAAAAAAACATCAAAGCAAGTTTCTCTTATACAATCCATTAACAAGAGTAATTTGTAATCGCCAAAATGTGAGATTTTCCTCGGAAGAAAGGTCTTTCGACAGAAGATTTTGCAACGTTTTTCACATGAACCACAAATTTCGAAGATGTCTGCAGAGTAAGCTGAATTGAATTATTGGAAAAATCTGCTTTCTAATCACTCAACTCAGTTGAATTTTTTTGGACAGATAAACTGGATTGGATGGGTAGAGATCGTGTTCATAAAATAATTAACGTAGAAATCTAAATTACCAGTATTGTGGGCAGATGATGATGGTGTATTTATGGATCCAGTACTGCTGCACCTGGAAAAGGCGTATCTCTCTGTGGGACTCGATGGCTCTAGCTTCATGTCGCCATCAGACCCAGTTCCACTGTTGACACTTCTCCCTGACCCTATCAAAAAAGTCGAAAAATAAAGAATCACTGATTTTAATAATCAAATCCACGATCATTAAAATCTACTCTTAAATAGAAGTGTGAGAATAATTTTCCATAAGTGAAAATCAAAACACAACATTTTTCTGAAGACCTAAATAAGTCCAATGAAACTATTTCCAATTCTATTTAATTCTGATATAATATCCGATGACACGTCTCATCATAAAAGTTTCCACACTTCAACGCTAAACTATTGTATCAATTAACCAGTAATTGAAAATTAATTAATTATGAATTGAGCGTCTATTGAATCTCATATTCTTTTTAGAGTGATTTTCCAATTAAAAACTGAGCAAACAATTTCAGGAATGTCGTCATGACATCTCATCTCATTCATAAATGCTATCTTCTTCAAACTGTAAATCCTTATCTTATCGCAGAAGCTTCAAAGACAACATTGGAACATCTCGCTAAACGGATAATTCGGTATTTAAGCTACCTACGCATTGAACCCATCACACTTTCCCTATAATTTGTAATGAGTAAAATAAATAAACACTTTCACTAGAATTATTGAAAAACAGTGGCAAATTATGGAAAAAATCGTTGTTGCGTTATTGTCAATGATTCATATTTTTTCTTCAATTTGACATGCAAAAAACAGATTGTAGAGAATAACGGAAATTATCTCGGACGAATAACCACGAGTAGTAGACCGAATTCGCGCAATTTTAAACTGTTTGTTCCAAAAAATGGAAAAAAAAGTAATGAGTTGGGAATAGAGAATTGAAAACATCAACTTTTTTTCAATAGATAATGACAACAGTTTGGTGTTGGATGTCTATTGATTGACTGGAGTTCTATTAGTTTATACCCGATTCTACTGATAATTTTCACAGCTTATCAGTATGTTTTTTTGCAATGAAAATGTTCAATAAAGAAATATTTTATAGAAAACATCATTAGAATTCGATTTTTCTATATAACTTATTCTAATATTTTTAGTAAGAATTACTCGGCTTAAATTATTTAAGCTTTTTTGTTTGATTTCTTCAATGAAAATAGAAGAAAATCAGAGTGAAAACAACTTGAAAAACTCAAGTTGCGGAATTCCCATAGAAAATGTCTCAATAGGAACAAGTGTATAGAGAGATGAAAGTTCTGCCGGATATTTCAAATATGTTTTCAAATTAAAAAATAGTTTTTAATGAACATTTTCTATTTTCTATTGGGAAAAACGTGCAGCGCAGCTGTAGAAATCGTTGAGTAGAATCGGCTAAGGTAAAGGTTAAGGAGGCATTCTAGAGTAAGGTGGCTGGGCGTACGTAACGCCCTGACTTCACGCATATAACTCTAGAATGGAGCAACTAGGCGCACGAAGTGCTCTATGCCACCTAAATCTATCAAGATCTATTGTAGGGCCTGCTTGATCAAGGCTTTGACTGGTTAGATCGTCATCATCCTACCCGACCGGGAATCAAACCCGAAACCTCTCGCATGTGAAGCAACTCTACTGCGCCAGGCAGAATCGGCTAAAAACTAATACAATTTTCAATAGAAGTTCAATAGAAATCCTATGAAATTATTTCGTGCGCGAAATAATAAACTTGCTCCAAAATCATTTTGTAGAATTAAAAACAGGCATTCGATGAAGCTTAAAATAATGATTACAAAATCTAAATATATTTTTAATTAATTCCTAATGGAATGGAATAATCTCCAAATTCTCCAAAAAATAGAGCTATCTTAATTCATAATGAAATTACGAATTTCGTAATCTTTGTGGGACACTTCGGCCATTTTTAAACGACCTTTGCTCCAATTCAAATCTCAATTCCAAGGAAGTTCAATAAGTTTTTGGATGATTCTATTGATAAATTACGCATTAAGAAGTTGAATAGAAATCCCATAAATAAAATTTTCTATCGAATTCGCTACATGTTCCTATGAAATTTTTCCGTATGTAAAATAATAAAACTTGCTCCAAAATCATTTTGTGAAATCAAAAACGAGTATTCGAGGGGGCACGAAATGGTGATTACAAAATCTAATTATATTATCAATTAATTCCTAATACTATTGAGTAATCTTCAATTTCTTAAAACAATAGAGTTACCTTAATTCACAATAAACTTATGAATCTGATAATCGAAAGTTCGATTAGTTTTTGGCCGATTCTATTGATAAATTCCGCTAAGAAGCTCAATAGAAACATAATATTCACTTATAATATTCACTAGGATTAGTTAGGATATACAGTTTTCCTGCTAGAAAATATAATATTCACTTTTTCCTCAACTACGAAATTCCCCAGAATTCTCTGAGCCTAACAAGAATACTCTAAAGCCCCTTGGGATACACCAGTATTCCAGAAAACTAGCCAATTTTCCTATGAAATTTTCCGTACGTGAAATAATAAAACTTGCTCCAAAATTATTTTCAGCACAAAATAATGATTACAAAATTCAGTTATATTTTTAATTAATTCCTAATAGCATTGAATAATCTCCAAATTCTCAACACAATGGAGCTACCTTAATTCACAATAAACTTATGAATTCCGTAATCGAAAGTTCGATTAGTTTTTAGCCGATTCTGTTGATAAACTCCACTTTAAAAAGCTCAGTAGAAATTCTATAATATTTTCTATCGAATTCGCTACATTTTCCTATGATTGTTTTTCATAAAAAAACCCATAAATCAACGATTGTATTAATTATACTTTGAATGATAATTAATAATAATAATTATTATTAATTATTATTTTCTAATTGTATTGTCAATTAATTTCTAATAGTATTGAGTAATCTTCAACTTCTCAAAACAATAGAGCGACCTTAAGTCATAAGTAAACTTACGAATCTCGTAATCTTTGTTGGACACCTCGGCCATTTTTAAAGGACCCAGCACGAATTTATATGACAATTCCAAGAAAAATCAGACGACTTCGTCGTAAAAAAGTCGAAACAGTCTCCTCAGCACGCGAGACTCGTGTTGAGGTTAACAGTGACATCCGAGCCAGCGTCTTCACTCTTATCTCTCCTCAATAAATTTCCATGGGTAATTCCACAGGAGGTGAGAGGCAGGCTCCTTATCCGAGGATTTTAAGTGTTGAATTGTGGTATCGAAAGTGGGATGACACATGTGATTGAATTGCGAGTCACAATATTGGTAAATACGGGCGGATTATGAGGGTTTCGCAATATACGTGAACGTCCATTTTTGTTGGGAGGAAGGGGCAGGCGCTGCAGGCATGAGAGTGAATGGGAATGGAGAGCATCGATTCGAGGACGTGGAAGAGCGCCCGATGGTAACGAGAGCGACCCATTGGGCCGCGCAGTCCGTCATAACACGAGGAGTGGGAAATGCGCGGGAAAATGGCGAAACGTGACATGAATTACGAAGCTGAGCTGTCAAATGCACGGGGAGCCACGTGCGGCCATCGAATGTCGAAAATGAATATTTTTTTAGCCTTGGATCATTGATTTTTACCGTGTTCTCTTGGAATTTCAGTGATTTTTGGCATTCAACTGAATTTTTCATACATTTTGCTTTGATTAAAAAACAAATTTTATGAAAAAAAAATTAATTTTCATTCATTTTTTGATGAAGCGAAAGATGAATATTTGGTTTCATGTTTTTTCTCAGCAGTATTGATTTTTGAAATTTTTATTAGTTGAATTTCATTGAAAATACGACTTCTGATTGCTTCTTTGAATAAAAAGACGATGTTTTTCATGGGAAAAAATACTCTTTTTTTCATCTTCTGCATCTTTTGATTTTCCGTAAGATGTTGGTTACTTTCTCATGAATTAGACTGAAAAATTTGAGAAAAATGAGAATATAAATGAGGATATAGAAAATAATATTGTTTAGAGCGATGGCAGCTGTTTTGAGAATTTACTGGTTTTTAAAATTTACGAAAATTTAAGTATTCCAATTTTGACACCCTTTTCAGCCGAGAAAAGTTCTGGATTCTCTCTCGAATAGAACATTAGGAGAAGAGGTTTTACTTGATGTTGAAAGATGTCTATTTTCACTGATTGATCAATGACAGAATTTATGAAAACCAAATTGTGTAACCAAGGGTCGAATTACAATGAGAAATATTCAAAATTTTCGTTAAAAATGTTCATATATTTCTTTTTTTAACGAAAAAATGTAGCCTTCATCCGCCGCACGGTTAACGTAGCGCCGCTGCGTTAAACCGAGCGAGCTGTTGCCACATTGGCGCTTACCCTATGCGCGCATTTCATAGTGTGGCAGTGAATGTAGCAACACTGTCGCTCGAGGGGCCGACAGTGACTCACTCGCGCCGGGCGGCACGGCGCCGCTTTTCTGGCCGTTCGATGCTTCTTTTCTTTTTTTAGCTAAACAAATTGCCCGAGAAAAAAACGGACAACGGAAGCGCTTAATAAAAGGATTGAACTAGGAACTCTAATTTTTTCAAAATTTTTGAGTGTCGAGAAACGCATTTATCTCGAGAATAAGTGATTTTATTGATAAACTCTTGAACTTCTTTCCAGGCTGAATGAATTCTCAATAAAAATCTTTTTTTTTGTTTTTTTTTATGTTTTGCTTTCTTTGCAACTTCCGTAGTGAACTATTTCCAATTTTCTGAAATTTCACTAACAGATGAAGAATCTAATCTTCATAATAATTATCATTTTGAACGGGAGAATGGGAATAGAATTCGATTTTATGTTAAATTATGTTTATTATACGGATGTATCTAATATATATATTTACAATTGTTTTTATCTTTTCCGAATACAAGTTAAACAATCAAGACAATATAATTAGTTTATATCATCGGGGGCTCAATGCCATTCGGATCGTCATCGGCCATCGATTCGGCGAGTCTTATCACTTTTCCCAGTATAACTCATTCGGCGTATCGTACATAAAATTCGCAATGCAAATGTACTCAATCAAGAAATTTTTATTCACAATTTCAATGCTCCAAAGTTATTGCATTCAATATTTTCCTTTGTTTTTGTGGGGATGAGATTGCATCATGCTTCATCATCATTATTTACTACGTATTTAAACCATATTGTTGCACACATTTCCGCATCTCTGAATATTGTTTTTTCTCTCTTATCACTCGGGGACGGATCGTGCCAGAAACCGAAAATTTACAATCCATTTATTTATTATTTTTACAATTTAAAAAAAAATTTAATTTATTCGAAAATTCGTTGATGATTTCAGTAAATCGATACCCAGAATTAAAATCTTTAATTTCAGGCGCCGACACGTGACTTGAAATTTCAATTTTTGTCATTAAGGTGATGATGCGGATCTCATCCCTGCAGTTCTACCAAAAAGTTCATTCAAAGAAAGAGAATTGGTTAATTATTCCACGCAACCGTGAATTTAACCGTGTAAAGGTCACTTTCAGCGATTTTTATAACGATAAAGCTCCACATGGAAATCAAAAATCCGTACTCCTAGATATAATGAACTTTTGATTGAATTTTGTGATTTAATGTTACGAGAAAACTAAACGAAGCCAGAGAAGCCTCCGATTTTTTCCCGTTACATTCAATCACAAATTCTTATTTACTGTTCAATAATTGTCTCCAACCACATTCACCCCTATCGCTCCCCTCTGTCGCCCATCAATTAATCATCTTGTGATACTTTAGTGGAGAAACGGTGGAACAGGCGACAAAAAGGCTTTTCTCACATATTTTTAGATTGACAGAAACGACGAAACGTTTTTTACAGAGAATTTTATAAACTATGGACAAGTTCTTCTGATATTTTGCCCTAAACCTACTATTTTGAGAGATATTTGCGAGATAATGAAGACGATCAATTCAAAGTTAATTTTCAAATTGCGCGGTTCACGATTCTGTAAATATTTCAATGACGGGTTTTAGGTGGAAGTTTTCAATGAATGTCTCGGGATCTAAGGGAGATAGCAACATTTTTGTCAAGATATTTTTTGTAGCTCTCAATTCGCTTCACACAAAAAGGTCATTCCGAAACTTTTGTTATCTCCTTTAGATTCGGAGATATTGCTCAAAAACTCAGCTGAGGTCTAAATTGACTTGAATCGTTTTACCGCTTTGCTAATGATTTTATATAGAGAATTCAATGATCTATATAAAATATTTTCCGACATCGTCCTCTTAATCTACTAATTCCATAGATATTTGCAGAATCATCCAAAGAAATCGATCATCAATTTCCAAATTCGTAAGTCTGGAAATTATTACGTTCTTTCTGTCCATTATTTAGTGAATATTTTAATAATAAGGCGTTTTAGAAATAAATTCTCACTGAATTCCCTACAACAAATATCTTTTGACATCTTTTTCTAACCCTACTATCCAGAGATATTCATAAAATAATCCACAGAAATCGAAAACCAATTTCCAAATTTGTAAGTCTGGAAATTCTCTCCTCACTATTCCCCAAATATCTCGAAAAGAAGTAGTTTTATGAAAAAATGACCCCGAAATTTCTGTCAGTCGTCCAATACAATTTTGCTCTGAACCCATTAGTTGTCCAGACGTTTACAAAAAGTCTTCCTGTTCCTTTCCAACTCTCCACATAATTTTCTTCCACTCAAAAAAAATGATAATAAACTAAAAATGTACTTAATATTCCACATATAAACATCAAAAATTCAAGTTTATACCCAAAATACTAAAATAATTCCTTAAATTATCAATAATCGATTGATTAATATTTCTCCAACGCAGAAACTCCCCAAATAAATTCAGTTAATCAATGGGGGAAAATTTTCCACTACAACCTCCACTCAACATATATATATTTTCTCAATCAATTTTCTCATTATTGGATTATCATTCCGTAATAAAGTATCATTCACTTATTATCAGTTATTTTTTTAATTTTAATTTTTCTTTTAATATCTAGAATTATGAATAATTCACAATATTACTAACCACACTCCTTTTCATCGTTATTTCCTGTTATTTGAAAATTCATTGATTCCCCTTACTTCGAGGATAAACAAGGGCAACAAAAAGTTGATTAATCAAAAATAAAATAAAATAGATTTGAATTAATTATGAAAGCTGATTTTCATTTCATTATTTCATTTGAGGTCATTTTAATTTCTGCACTTCAATGTTCTAATCCTTCGGAGAAAGGCCTTGTGTTTAACTATCAACTATAATTAATTAATTAATCTATTCATTCCATTTTTTTACTGTGGCAATTAGAACCAGAATAAAAAAAAAACACGTTTCTATGAAGTTTTGAATGAGGAGAATAATTGATATGGTTTTGTTATGGTGCGTATTACAACGGAGTACCTGCAGCTGAACCAGTTTTCGTGTTCTCCATTTGTGTTTTTTTTTAAATCTTCTCTTTTCCTTTCTCTTCCCTCCCCTCTTCCCCCCTCTCTCAATCCTTCAGGTACCATTTAACATAATTTATTATGAGTGAAAAATGAAAGAAAATGTTATGAGAAATTCCTGAGGAATTTCAGACAATTTCTATTGTATTTTATTCTGAGTTTATTCGGGGGGAAATTGGGTTTTGCTAGTTAAAGAAAAATTATTCTGGATTTGTCTCACCCTCGAGTGGTGTATCGGCACTCGGTGGGCACCATTCACCAGCATGGCAAGTGTCTTTCCCTCGGTATTGTCTCCTAAGTATTTTTTTTAAAGTTATTCATTACAGTATTTTCTTGTTTCAGTTCATTGGAAAAAGAGAAAGAAATTGAATTAGTGGCGCGGTGGAATCAACGAGATCATTCCGCAAATATCTCGGAAATTAGTGAAGTTTTGGTAATTTCAAGAGACATTTCTTGATATTTTTCTCAGAGCCCAATAGTTTCTGAGATATCGACGAAATTATGCAATAAATCAGTTCGAAATTAATGTACCGATTACTTCGAAAATATCTCCGAAGGAACGAGGTCTAGACAAATTCTTCATACAACCTTTTTATAGAGAATTTATTGAGCTACAAAAAAGGTCTTCTGACACGTTTCTCCAAACCCACTGGTTTCGGAGATATTTTTGAAATCAACAATGTAAATATTCTGTTTTCACCACTCTCCCACAAAATATTGATTGAAACTCTCAAAATAAATCATCTAAAGGTTCATACTGAACACGTGTGACCCACAACATTATTTTCATAATTTTTTTGTTAATTCCCAATTGCTAATGGACGATCAGGAATTATTTAGAATTTTTTGTTTAATTATTTATTATTTTTCTGAGCCGAAAGAATGAGTTACCCCTTTGGTTTAATTATTAACAAAGGGGGAAATAATTTTGTACTTTTTTCACACAGTTTTACCATTCTTCCTGAACCTGAATTGAATAACGTGGGCTCAATTATTCTTTATTAAAAAAAAAATGAAAATAGGAAAAAATTGGTAAATAGATACTTTGTGTTTTTTCCATTCATTTCGTAATTTTTTTCATTTCTTTTGTACCATTGATTTAGATTTTTGAGCGCTTGGCCTGACGTGACTTGATCGTACGTCTTGGTTTTTTGATGATGTCACCGGTGGGGGGCTCCTCAGATGATAATTTTCGTTTTGAGGAGAGACTCGATAGTGGAGTTCTGGGGGGCGCCATTTCCGTTGTTGTTTGCGATGACGTGTGGGGCTGGGGATTGCAGGACTCTGTTGGACTTTCTGTGTCAGCTATCGGGATGAAATTTAGGGCATCGGTGAATGAGTCAGAGAGTACGCCCTGATTTGCCAGTGCCTGGAAATCCTCGGCTGGCATTGGCATCGATTGACCGCAACCATTGCACACTGATATCGCTGGGGACTTTGATCGCCAGTATTGCAACTCTGTCTTGCATTTGTTGAGTTCCTGAGGGGGAAGAAATTGGTTTCAGAATTTGCGAATGTGAGAGAACAGGCACGATCAATTTCATAGAAAAAAGTAGCCAACACAACGGGAAAAAAATTATTTTTAGCAAATATTAATTTACTTGAGAGAAACATTTATTTCTTCAAAATCGGATTTTCGGTATTGTTAAATTTTTTGCCAATTAAATGTAAAAAATATTTAAATATTTTTGAGAGAAAGAGATTGGAAGAAAAATACAAGAGAAAAGTGTCTCAATATTTTTTCCTACAGCTACAGATCTCAGAATTTACAAAATAATCTGTTTAAAATTGTTGCACTCATCTTTTTTCATTCCTCTACAACAGAATTAAATTATTTCAATTAATTCCAGAAAACTTTGAAGTGATCTGTATATTTGTATTACTCCCATTACTGTTCATTGAGAAGGAAAGCTGATATGTCTCTATTTTTAAATATGTTATGAGTTCATTTGCGAGGAAAAACGATAACGATTCATCACGAAAGCTCGAGACTTGAGAATTAATTCATAGAATTAAAAACAAAAAATTGAAACCTAAAAATAAACATTGTACCTTAGTAAATACCTGGAGTAAAGTGCTGAATTTGCGTGATGTTTCCTCATTCTTCTTATCGTGATCATCAAGACGATTGGCATACTCAACAATCTGCTTCTGCTGGTCAGCGATTTTAACCTTGCAATTCCTCAGATCTCTGCGCATCATCGAGAGCTGGCTATTGTACCTCTTCATGCCCTGTTTGATCTTGCGGATGCGTTTACGTAAGAACATGTTGGACTGTGGTGGTGGCACGTTATTGCCCATGAGACCTGGATCCTCGGGTCTGTGGCTGGGGGAACATTCACCACCACTGCCACTGTCTTTGTTACTGTCACCACTCAGGGGGGCTGAGTCCAGACAGATGAAGGGTTTGGAAACACTGCTTGATGCTGAAATTATAAAATGGGGATTTTTTAATCATTTATATAATTTACAGGATTTTGCAGAGATTTTTCTCATTTAAGGTTCTTCCCATACGATTTCAAGTTATTTTTTTTTAAGATGATGGATTAATTTAGAATGATTACAACGATTTAAAATTCCGAAAAAGCTTAGAATTAATTTTTTTGTTCATCATTAACACATTGGAGGTAAGATGTAGTGTTTTTAATGGGATTTTTGAACATAAAAATATTTAAATAATTAATTTTCCATCATTACTCTATGAGAGAAAAATTCATAATTCGTTCGGATAAACTTTGGAGCTTGAAAAATGTCTGAATAATTCCTTTTGAATGATGAACCTATGAAAATAATTTCTTAAAAAGGACTTCTGATGATTCAAAATGCCTGAATAATATACCATGAATAATAAAATCATGTGTTTGTTAAGATTATTGATTAATTGAACAACGATTTGGACGATTTAGTTTCTTGAAAAGAACTTTGAGCCTAAGAAGGCCTTGAATCAATTTTCTTCATCATTAACACTTCATTGGAGGTAAGATTTAGTATGTTTAGTTAAATTTTTAGCATAAAACAATGTTTCATCAATTTTTGTGCAAGGCATAACTATATTGAAGAATTATTTCAATTGCAATTAAGAGAACAATTTATACTACATTCGAATTGACTTTCGAGCTTGAAAAATGTCGGAGTAATTCCTCTTACATTATGAATCCATGAGAATAGGTTTTTGAAAAGAACTTCTGATTATTAAAAATGTCAAAATAATTTATCATCAACGATAAAATCATGTTAATATTTTTTACTGCACTTACATGAAAAAGTACCAGCAAGATCCAGAAAATCAGGCCCAAAGTACGAAATCTCTGGTAAAGTAGGTTCAATCTTTTCTTTAAAGTACTCCATAGCCATCGTAGTTAAATCAAAAAGTTCGTCAGTAACTTTATAAGGCTTTGTTAGCTTGGCTGTTATCTTGATGTAATGCAGAATACGATAAACTTCGTCCAGAATCTGAAAATAAAGGGAGAACGAATTATTCGATTTCAGAGGTACTGGCAGGCATGGACACCTCAACCCACCTCTCCTGGGAAGAAGCAGCAGTGCTTTCTCTCGATGTGCTTTCCAAAGCTCATTTGAAGGAGAGTGAGTCTCATGTGGAGTGTCTCGATGATGTCGCACTCACAGGCGAGTGGATGATTGCGTCTGGCTGACTCTCGACGTGGCATCTGAGCTTTTATCGACTGAAAACGCGACAGCATCTGCGACTGCAGACGCTGGAATGTCGTGTTGAGTCGAAAGCCACATACCATGTTGAATTGACGACAAACCTGGAACAATGAATAATTTAATTGATTAATTATTAACGACTCTGTGGTATGATGGATTCTATTGACGAGAAAAATTTAGCATTCGAGCATTCATTTTACAGGTAATTCTGGAGCTAGTGAAAAAATAAAAAACCATTGAGAGAGAATTTTTGGAGGGACATTCGTTTTTTCAGAATTGGAAACTTTTATGATAATGATTTTACAAATAATTTAAAAACTAGTAGGTTTAGAGGAAACCGTCACTCGAACTTTTCTGCAGTTTTTTAAATTTTCTACAAGAAAGGTTTTCTATTTTTTTTTGGTGAGCCTCTCCACTTTGAAAGTATTACCAACGATCCAAGAGTATTTATGGATTCTGTTGATGAGGAAAATTTAGTATTCGAGGATTAATTTTGCAAGTAATTCTGGAGCTAGTGAAAAAATAGAAAACTATTGAGATTTTTTGGGGGGGAATTCGTGGGCTACAGAAAATGCCTAATTACACTTCTCTCAAAACCTTTTGCTTTCGAGGTTGATTAACATTTCACAAACAGTAAATTCGTTTCCTGAGAATTTGAAACATTTATGACAATGTTTTTGCAAATAATTAAAAAACTTGTAGGTTTGGAGCAAACTACCAATAAAACTTTTTCCTAGCTCTTTAAATTCCTTACAAAGGTAGCTTTTTGATATTTTTTGTGGATCTTTTCACTCCGAAAATATTTATACGAATGCTCCAAAAAAACTTCCTAAGCTTGTCGACTTTATAAATCTCTCAAATGCTTCTGAAACTGTTGAATTCGGATTAAAAAATCTAAATATATTTTATCTAGACCACAAAATTTCCTATAAAACTGCCTCGTGACATCATCCATATTTCCAAAACAAATTAGAAATATTATGACTTCTTTGAGTTTATGGTTATGGTCATGTGGAAACAGTTTATAATTAGGTAAAAATCAATCAATAAATTGAATTAATAAAATTTTGTGACTCACCAAACGCAGTTGTGCCACAGTATTGAGATCAAACGAAGAGATAATTTTGTCGAGTAATTCAGGTGGGAGATTGAGAAGATTGATATTCTGAACTGGTGCTGGTTCAGGGGACGAGTGAGCACTACCAGCAGAGCCAGTGTTAACCTGAGTGTGATGTCTACGTGATGGTCCAGCCTCAACGGGCTCACTGACCCTCCCAGAGCTGCTTCCACTGCCCATGTTACTCGACTGACGAGTCGACACCATTTTATTCCTTCGTGGTCTCAACACACTTCCCCCTGAATGTTTTTAACGTCTCTCAATTATTTCGAATGATCCAATCCAACTGTAAAAATAAAATTATGAAAATGAAATGAAGCCCATACCGATGCACTCAATAATTACATAAATTCAAATAAAATATAAATAAGTGCTAGATTGAGGGTAGGAGTCAATTGAGAATTTCGAAGAGGGATGAATTTTATAGCAAAACGGTAAATCGTAATAAATGATCAAGATTTCATAAAAATTATCTCATGCCCTTTATATTGAAAACTACACTGCGCAATTAAGGATATCCAAGTACTTTTTTTTTATTTATTATCCAAGTACTTTGGCTATTTTTTCTCCAGTAAAATGCTTTTTTACGTTTGTAGGCCAACATTAGAGCTTTCATTTGAGCTCCATTTGGCCCTGAGTTTCGGGACATTTTACAATTATTTTATTATTTAAACTTTGCAGGTGTGAATTTGCATCTCGATATTGAACCGTTAGAAAACATTTTTTAAATCTGAAAAGAAATTAAACCGTTTACTTTTGAAGGAAGATTAATGGAATAATTTTTAAATTGCAATTTTTATGAATAATTTATAAACAATCGTTTTGCCCCCATAAAAATTATTTCTTCGAATCGTAATAAATCCAATCATATTCAGAATTTTACCAGAAATCTATTTCATACCTTAAAAAATGAGTTGCCAAAAATTTGAACAATTTCAATTATTTATTTATAAATAACGAATGTTTAACAAATTAATAATTCTGTGCAAAATGTAATTTAAAAAACGCTGAATATTCACGATTTTTTCAAATTATTCTCAAGCAATTTAATTGACAAATTTCATGATTGAAAATAGTTGAATCTATAGTGTGGTCTGTACCAGATTGGAAAAAATACTTGAATATCCTTCATTGACAATTCAACAATATATTCCCCTGAATTGCCGTAATTTCTATTAATTTCCGTGGAATAATTGAACTGGAACTCACAGTTTCCATTTTTTCAGGAAAATTGTGAATTTCCTAAAAATTGTGAAGATGAAATTCCTTGAAATTTCCGGGAATCCAAACTTGAAAAATTCTTTATTCTATTGAAGAATTCTTTACAGTCTAGTTTCAGCAAAAAGGGTCAAGAGATGTTTTTCAGAGCTAGACACATTCCAAAACCATTTGATATCGACATAATCCCCCATGATTTAATGTTGAACAAGCATGAGTTGATGATAGAAGCATGTGGATCATTTCAAAACGTTAGATTTCATCATTCATGGCGTATTCTTAAGTATTTCCCAAAAACAAATGATTTCAGGAAAATAATCAATATCGGGTTATTGGAGCTAGATAAATTTCAGAACCACTTGCTATCGAAATAATTTGATGATACTTCACATCGATAAAAGACGATTAGTTTCAGAATAAATATGGAGAAACATTTTCTACGGCTCACACAATTTTCAACAGAAAAAAATCGAGAGATCTTTTTGTAGCTCGCAAAATTTTGTGAGCACTAAGATGATTTCATGAGCAAGGATGACTCAATAATTGATACAAAAACATAATCCTTTGTCGATTGTCTCAATTGGAAATTTATCTTGGAATTGAGTAGTTCAAAAGAGAATTGTCAAAAGACCTTGCTTGGTGCACACGGAATCCCCATTCTTGAACAAGGATGAGTTGATGGCGAAGGGTTAGATTTAGATTTAGGTTTAGATTTCATCATTCCTGGTGATTTCTCAATTATTTCTCGATCAAGCCGAAAACAAACAGTTTCAAAAAAATAGTCAAAAGGATTTTTTTGAAACTGGCAACGCCTGAATAAATTCCATAACCCCTTTTCATTAAGATAATTCGCCATTTCAAAGGGGTAAGTTGGTGATCGATGTAAAAATTGAACATTTTCCATCAACTCAAACCAAACATTTCAAAAGATCTTTTTTGTAGCTCACAAAATGTTTTCAACATCAAGATGATTTCAATTATTTATTTAGGGCAGGTTGGTGTAAAACGGACACTTTTGACTTTTTTTGAAATATTAATGATGGGTTGAAATATTGATAAAATTTAATATATATTTTTTTTAATACAAAGAACAATTATTTCCCTTTGTGACGACCCTAAACTGAGCTCAATTGATAAATTTGTTTCTAAGTTATGAATAATTTTAAAAAAGTCTAAAGTGTCCATTTTACCCCACCCTCCCCTAATGAACGAGAATGGCTCAATGATTGATATGAAAACATCATCTTCTCCCAATTGTCTGAATTTACAATAAATCTCGAAATTGAGTGGTTGCAATGAAAAATGTCAAAAGACCTTTCATGTAGCTCACGAAATGTTCAACAAGACAGCCCCTGAAATTCTCCCCGAAAATCCTTCCTTATCCAGAAAATTCCCAATTTCATTGACTGCCCAAAGCCTCTTATAAAAAATCGTCTCGTTCTGTCCTTCACGTTTGACTTCCCAAAAAATCGACTATCTAAAAACCAATCCTCCATTCGCTATCTAAAAAAATCTCAACCCTACAATCAACAAAACCTCTCCCCACGTCCCCCAGCCCCAAAAGCTAAAAAAAATCCAGCAGCCGCAGGTAAAATCAACCGGCGATTCCCCACCGCAGCCCAATCCCCCCAAGAAGAAGCAAAATCCCTGAGAACCCCCCGACGTCTTTGTTCTCCCCAGGAAAACCTCAGATGCAACGAAGCGTCGATATTTCGGGGTTAATGTTCCCCTCACGACAATTTTCCATCGATTTTTCCCGTCCAATTAACCCACGGCAAACCCAACAATTTACCCCATCCACATTCGTGTCCATAATCGTCTCTATCTCCCCCTCGTCGACGAACAAAGACGTCGAAACCTCGGGCAAAAAACCATTTAAAAAATCCCTGAAGAGGAAAAATAAAAAAGTAAACCCGATAGGAATCGATCCCCCGGTGTGTCTGCCCTCCGCAATCCCGAGCTTTTGCCCCTTTTTCCAGAGAAAAAAACCGAGACCCCGCACCATTCCCCAGTCATAAATTCCCCTGAAGCCTTGAAAAAACGTGTTAAACCCCTAAAAAAATAAGAGACGAAAGAAACCTCTCCGTTGGTCCTTCGAAATCGTCCCCATCCCAAACCCATTCCCCAAAACCCAAAAGAAAAAAGACCAGACGATTAATCAACAATTCCCGATCCTCAACAATTGTCTCACCAACAAATTCATGCTGTCGAGACTCGTGTCGTGGCACTTAAACAAAAAAAATTAAATTAAACTCCAGTGGATGTATACAAGATGCCCGAACACTCCACCTCTCAAAAAATAATTCCAATCCCCCGATAGAAATTCTGCTCCAATCCCAATTTCACTTCAATATCAACGGAATTTCGGAGCAACTCAACTCCAAAAATTCACGTGAAATTAAAACCGTTGAACTAATAAATAATCAACAAATACCGAACAATTACTCCCTCCGCGTTGGCGTTTTCAGCGACATTTTGACGTCGGATAGCACTCTGGAAGTACCAGTACAGCTCCAAAGAGCGTTTTCACTCCCTCTAAAACCTTAATATATCCTTCTCACTTCAATACATGGTAAATAGTGTGTGTTGAGGGGGGCGACGGAGGGGCAGGGGGGAGGGGGGGCAGGCTAACACTGTCTCAGTGAGGTTTTGTATGTCTCTCTCTATCGGACAAACACTAAACCGCTCTTTTTCCCTGCACTCCCGCTCCTTTTATTCTCCTTTCTTCTTCTCCCGACGAAAAAAACCGATTTTTTTTGGGAATTTTTTTTTTTTATTCGGAAAAGAGATTCTAGTTGTTTAGAGGTCACTGATTAGATCAGGGTGATGTTGATTAGTAATTAATAATTGTTTTGTTTACTTCTTTTGTTGGTCACAGAGAGGAACATTCGAGCACTTGGCACTGATTACAATTTTCAATTCCGATTTTTGGGACCCGTGAGAGTGAGAATTTCGGGACGACTGGGTTTTTGGGTTGCAGTTGGATGAGGGAGTCGAGACTCCGGGGGCTTTTTCCACGGGGTTTTGGAGTTTTTTCGATTAAAGGAGGTTTATATATGACACACTGCTCGGTAACACTGATGAAAACATCCAGACTGCAGCAGTTTTTGGGTGAACTGCGTTTTGCTGGGACGGTAGACGTACGTTTTCAAGAAAGGTAGTTGGTGCAGTGGGGAGGTGAGTCGTGAGTGGTTACAGGGGAATTTCGGAGCCGCTCATTGGGGGGAAAGAGCGGCCGTTACTGAGCTGCTGTTCAGGTTGGCGCCTTTTGCGAGTCGGGTCGGTAAGGGAGGAATTTTCAGTTGTCTCTTGATTTGTCTGGATTTAGGTCAAATTTGGCGGTTAAGGTATAGGGGAGGTTGGGGTAAAATGGACACTTTTGACTTTTTTTCAAATGTTAATAACAGCTTGAAATGTTGATGAAATTCAATAGTTTTTTTTTCAATGCAACGAACATTTCTTTCCCTTTGTAATGAGCCTAAACTGAGCTCAATTGATGAATTTGTTTCTGAGTTATGAGTAATTTTAAAAAAGTCCAAAGTGTCCATTTTACCCCATCCTCCCCTATCGCAGGACAATTGCACCCGAAAGTTAGTGCCTATGGATTTCCGGAAAAAATTAATTCTAGTTGAATTAATAAAATTAACATTTTAAAGATCTTTATTAACATCTATAACAATCAAGTACATTGAGTAAGAGTATCACAATGAGCTTGGACTTAAGAATAATTAGTACAGCTTCAGCCCGAAGGCTATTACATGTATTTTGCATAAAGATTGCGATTTTTTTGTGGTGCTTAAAGGAATGGGGAAAGAAACAGAATATGTTGTGTAGGGAAAAATTTAAGGATCAAGGAAAAAAAAGTATATTTCGTAACGAGTGCAAAAAAGTGTTTTTTGGCGAGTGGGAGGTTTATATCAGGAGCCGAAGGCGAGTGATATAATCCCACGAGCTAAAAAACATTTTTTCACGAGTTACGAACAATATTTTTCATCACAATGTGACGGAAATTGGACTTTTAGGCACGCGGAGCGTGCGTGATGAAAATACTATTTCAAAAGGTGAATTAATTTAATTAATTAAATTGAATTCATTTATTGCATTCTCATAAGTTATTGAGTTTTTCTATTCTCATATTGTTGACGCAGGCAACAATAACTGTTTGAAGAAATTATTTGGTAATTAATTGTTTGAATGAAATCAGTAGTGAAGTGGTCAATCGGTTCAAGTCGACTTAGCTCCCAGTTCAGTTTTTGTTGGATAACTCTGAATTTAAGAGGATAGCGAAATTTTTGTAAGATATTTTTCGATAGTCTTCACTTTGCTTTACAAAAAAGATTTTTCGGAAAATTTTGCTACCTCCTTTAGAATTTGAGATATTCATCGAGAACTGACGCTAGGATGGAATTGACTTAAACCATTTGACCACTTCACTACTGAAATGAGAAATGTTTTCATGAAATTTACATTTTTAGATTCAAGTAAATAAGCTTGCAGGACAGAAATTACTGACCGAAATATAAGGATTATCTCTGCTCCCCCAACAGATCTTTTTTCCATAGAATTTCGATGACAAAATTTCAAATATGCAAAATTATTTATCTATGCAATTTTTATTGGGGAAGAATTCCACTGAAATTCCAATTAATTTTGTTTTGGATTGAGAATTCGCGATTCGCTGAAAACAGTAAATTTTTTCGAAACTTTCGAATAAAAATCAGGGTAAATCAGAAATATTCAAATAGTCGCACGGACAGACGGACCGATGCGACGGATGGACGCGACGAACAGACGGACGGGCCGACAGACGGTGGGAGGGGTGGACAGACAGACGGGGGGAGGAAGGGGTGGATAGACAGACGGGCGGACGGCTGAACGGACGAATAGATCAATTGAATTTACACGAAAAGAACGAGGACTTTTATCTTTAAATCTAAACAAAAATTCTCAATCTCCCAATAATCAAAAAAATTGGATATCTGCAAAATTAATTGCCTATTCGGTAAAATTCGTGCATATTCAAGAAAATTTCTTAGAGTCATAGTATTTAATTCCGTAACACCAGTAATATTTTCTGTGATACTACGAACATTTCAAGGATTTTTTGTAAAACCAGTGATCCACTATTTTACAGTAATCTTGAATTTTATTGAGAGGTTTGTGAAAATTCCATTCAATTTTGCGAGAAGAATCCAGAGAAAACAGTGATATTCCGCACTCTCCGAAATAAATTTCGTCTAGTGAAGTCATTTGGACTTAGTTAATGATGCCAGCAATATGAATTATTGTTCATTATGATTGAATATCGTCCAGAAAAACCTAGCGCATCCATTACAAAAATTTGTTGAACTTATATTGAAAATGTTCTTTAACTTTTCGCAGATTTCTTTGAAATATTCTAGAATTCTTTTTTAATGTAGAAAATATGATATGTTCAATGAAAAATATTTTATAAAAAATTTCTATAGATCTTTTCTACATAATTTTTCAGGATAAATCTTCCAAGTCTTTTTTATTGTGCATTCTTTACATCTCTCATTTAAAAAATCGACCAAAAAAAGTAAAAAATTGAAGTCGAGAAATTTCTATAAGAAGGATCTCAACATTCACATCTATTCGCTTTGCCCACAAAATATTTTCCATTGGACATCTCTATTTGAAAAAACGCGCAGAACAGCTGCGGAAATTTTCAGTAGAAACGACGGAAGAGTGATAAAATTTTCTTAATCTACTGAGAATTGTCGGTATATCAGGGATTCTGCCCTGAAATTTCCATCTTACCGGCGGGAATAATGGACTTGAAACTCTTATCTTCCATTCGCAAAAAATTTGAATATCTAATTTCTTATGACAGTTTTTAGACCATTCTAGAAGCCCAGTAAAAACAATCCTTCGGGTGTTGTCCATTGTTTTTTCATTACCTCCGCCACTTTTTCAAGCCAATCAGACTTGATATCGAGAAAGAAATAACGATAAATAGTCAAATTGTGTCATAGTCACTCGAGTGTTGAATCACTATTTTTTCCCATGTTCAAACACTTCCGCTTTAGTATCCAGTATCCTTTCGACTTTTCATGTTCCAACAGTTGTGAAATGAGCGTGCGAAGTGAATCAGTGTGAATCATTAAGGTTTGAAATAATCCCCTCTTTTCAATCAAAATAGTTCAGGAAATTAATTTTATCCAAAACTCGTCTTCGCAAATGAAAATTGTTATTGCGGACTTGAAGTGGAATTCAAAGTGATGAATTGAAATTCCCATTTAGCGAAAATGAAAAATAAAATAGAGAAGATCAATTAGTTAATGAATGAATGAATGAATTAATTAATTAATTAATTAATTTCCACTCGATCAATGCAAAAATTGAAGTAAAATCTGAAACAAATCGTGAATAATATTTAGTTTCCGGAGTGGAGTGGTATACTGCAATATTTCACGGACATCAGAAGAATGCCTTCACGAATAGATAGTGGAAGAAATATGATAACTGGTAGGATCCAAGTGGTAGCCGAGAGAGGTCGAAGGAGGGAATGCGAAAGAGAGTAGGAGGATTCATTGGCCATTTCTTTGCCTGACGCTCTTGAGTGAGGGGATTCTTTTTCTATCGGTTATTTCATTCGTGCGCTACAGCAGTTTCGAGCGGGTACAAAACGATAGTTCAAAATTTTTTGGATACATTCTGCACTAGTGGTTCGAACAGAAGACATCGCTCAGTGAATTATTAACGACATGGAAGTTCACCTGGTTTTTGCTGCAGTTTTATTATCTCGTGAGTATACGATAATGTCATCAACAAGTTGTTTGAGAGAACGTTCAGTGCTTCTAACTATTACTAGCTGAATTAACGGATTTTGTATTCATTTCGATTTTCGCACGTGAGAAAGCGTTGTCTTCGATTTTGTTTTCGGTATTGCAAATTTTTTGTCTGCGAATTTGACAGTTTTCGATTGATAAAAATATTTATCCAGCGATTTTTGTTATATCATGGGGTACCTAAAAAAAGTGCGGGGCATGTTGGGTGAAACTCATTTTACCTCGTATGTCAAACGAAAACATCGTTTTTCGTATTTTTGGCTTTAAAATGCTCCTCGCACCAAAATTTTCATCCGATTTAAACTTTTTTTTCAAAATGTTCATTAGATTCTATCGATTAATTAGTGTATTAAATTGCGTGAGAAATTTTTTTTTAAATCATGAACATTCAGCGTTATTCAAACTACATCTTGCATAGAATTATCATTTTTGTAAAAATTTCCGTTTTAAAATAAATAATTGAAATTGTTTAAACTTTCGGAAACCTTATTCGTTTAGACATGACATCGATTTCTGGTACAATTCTGAATATGAATACGTTACGATTTCGAACAAATGATTTGTAAGGTGGAAAATTGATTGTTTATAAATTATTAAAAATGCTCATAATTTTCAAAAATTGTAATTTTTACGTGATTCCACCGAAATTTCGCCAATAGTAAACTTTCTAATTTTTTTTCGGTTTATTAAAATGTTTCTAACGATTCAATGTTGAGATTCAAATTCAGACTTGCAAAGTTTAAATAATGAAGTAATTGTAAAATGTCCGGAAACTTAGGGTCAAATGGGGCTCAAATGAAAGCTCTGATGTTCAACTACAAAAGTAAAAAAGCATTTCACTGGAGAAAACGTAGCCAAAGTACTTGGATATTCTTAAAAATGCGTGAATAGAGAATCCTGAAATTTTCTACAGATTGGATAGAAATAGATGGGTTTAACGAAATTTATCACTAAATTTTTCTTTTGTGAGAAATTTTATGGACTATGGAAAAAATTCTCAATATTTTATCCTAAAAGCGATCATCACGGATGTAGGTTTATGAAAAGGAAAAGCCGAACGGTGAGAAATAGACATAAATTGATAAAATTCAGCATACATTATTCCTGAAATATGTCTGTAGGAGATATTCATGAACTTTTAGTAGATTTTATGGAAAAGAAATCAGATTTCGTCCAAAAATCGATGATACAGCACAATTTAAATAAAATAGAAAACCTTACAGGTAGAAAAAATGATGAATTGAGGGAATCCTGCACAGATTATTGGGTGAACATCTCTGAAACTGATGGATTTGTCTACGAAACACCCCTTCAGACAATTTTTTTAACCCACAACCTCTCCAGATATTAAAAGAATAATTTGGGAATCCGTTTTTAATTAATCTGCTTCTATTTTCCACTATTGCACGAAACAATAGGGATATCTGGGTATTCCAGGATTTTTTTTTTATTGACATCCTTTTCAACATTTGTAAACGAACATTGGAGTTTCTATTTAAGCCCCATCTGATCCTAAGTCACCGACATTTTGCAATCATTTAATTATTCAAAAAACTTCGAAGGTCGAAAAATTCATAAAAAAAATTTGTGTATTCGCTACAAAATTCTATTGGCCTTCCATTAGGATTCTATTTTGTTGGCAATTTCCATTAAAAACTACCGAATTTCGCTGTGTGGTTGTTAATAGCCGTTTGACAGAAAACGCTTAACAGCTGATGGTTTTCCTATGTAATTTTTTTCGTTACTATTTTTTTTCTGTAAGAATTGTCCCAAAGTTTTTTTTTAATTTTGTAATGACAGACAAAAAATAAATAAATATATATATTATGCAGAATCATGATGTATGAAATGAAAAAATCATTGAATTCGGTAACGAAGTGGTAAAACAGTTCAAGTCGATTTAGATTATTAGTCAGTTTTCAATTAATAACTCGGAATCTAAGGCAGATAGGAAAATTTTTGTCGTAACCTTTTTTTAGTGCGCATTGAGAGCTATAAACAAAGGTTCTTAACAAAATTTCGCTATCTCCCTTAGATTCGGAGATATTCTTCGAAAACTAAGAGGTAAATCGACGTGAATCGTTTTACCGCTTTGCTACTGAATTTGTTCGTACGCGTTAATCAAATCCCTTTTTTTTAACAACTAGGAAACAATTTTATAACATAGAAAAAATTCAGAAACGGAACTTTCGAAGGAAAATTTATTAAATGAATTGAAAATCCATTTATAGAAATCATTTCAAACTTTTCAATCTTCAAAATTTTCTCATAAATCACTCTAATGACAGAAAAATATAAGATTTTCAAAAATTTAGATAAGTTTCACTTTATTTTTCTGAAGGAAGTGTTGAAAAAACAAGTGATTTCTCCAACAATTTTATTCTAATGACACTGATTATCTATGAATTTTATCATATTTTTTAACACAATTCAGTTGACAATTGTTGATTATTGCAATTGGTAAATTTCATACTTGGGACGCTCCAAATCCACTGTATGGAGCTCAGTTTTTCCTAATTCCATGATTTATACATGCCCTTGAAATCCTCAACTTGTGATAATTAATTGTTAACTAATGAGCAATCTTTCAAACACTTATGATTGAAAAAATGTTTACTTAAATCCGAAACTTCAGATTAAAAAAAATAAAAATAAATTGCACTTTCAATACTCAATGAATTGTTCCAACATCTAAAAATAAAACGAATTCCCTAATGATGAAAAGTGTACACCAGAAATTTGTGAGGACAAACAATTACTACAATTTCTCACTGATTATGTCCTCTATCGTCTGAAATACTTAACAAGTTGGAGGCATGTGAGCAGAGGCTATCATCATAATCCTCTAAATTACCTAGGCATATCCTCAATTCCCTGAATTTCAATTAATGAGATTCTGATCTATCAAATCTCTGATACAATCAAATAGAATTAATCGAATCAACGACTCAACCCGTCGTCTTCCCTCCGGGTTACAATAACAAAGGTAAGGGTTCCGGGAGACGAGACAGAGCCCAAGTCATAAAGCACCATATTTCTACCAGAAGGAGCATATTTTCTCGGCGTAACACGTTTGAATGTGTTTACAGGAATAGAACTCGCGGAATATTTCAAAGAGCTATAACACGCGAAAATTAATGAAGAGGGGCGATTTATTTCAAATTGAACAAAAGTGAGAAATTAAATGCTTTTTCCTCGATTATTCTGAGACATAAAATCCTCTCAGGACAACATAAATTACAATTTCTTTTAAGTTTCTAATGATATTTTCAAGTGAAATTTAATTAAAATAGACGAAATCACATCATTAATGGAGTGTGAAAGAATTTAATTGAGAACCTTGATTTAAATTAAATATAAATTATATTACATTCTCATTAGAAATCCATCAAAATTTTATTGGAGCTTTATTATAACTGCATTGCAACTCTATTAGAAATTTCAAATTTTTTGAACCTATTTCTATTCAAGATTTTCTAATCGATATTTGATTCGAAAAATAGTATTTTTCCGGCCTGTTGCGATGGGGTTTTTTTCTCGTGTGGCGTTGGCCTCCGAGCGGTAGGCGAGGACTGGCCAACCACACGAGGAAAAAAACCCCATCGCAACAGCCTACGAACAATATTTTTCTGTAGTGATTTTCAAGTTTTCGGGTTTGGGAAGTATGTAATACCAATTCCCAGACGAGAAATCGGGAGAAGCAGTACAGAAAAATTAGATTTCTATTTTTCTATATGAGATGTTTTTCACATAAATTTTCAAGGGTAAATTTTATAAGTTTTTCATGCTCAAGAATTATTACCGAAACAATCCCCGCAGAACAAATTATATATATATAGAAATCGACATCCATTGAATTCTTTCTGGCTACTGAAAAACACCCAAAGTTTTGTCATAGGCTGAAGTTGCATAATTTTTAATAGAAATCGGCACAAAAAACGGATAGAATTCTAATAAAATGGTCAAACGAATGCGTTTCCTATGAATTTTTTCAATGCGTGATTGAAAGCGTCCGTTGAATAGACTTTTATGCCCAAAGTTATCAATTAGCAATCTACAGTCAATATTTTTCCATTCTTAAAAGTGATACTAATCCAGTAGCGAAGCGATGAACCGGGTTAAGTCGATTTTGACTATTGGCCAGTTTTTGACGAATATCTCGGAATCTAAAAGAGATAGAAATTTTTTTGTAATAGCCTTTTTTGTGGAGTCAATTGCGGGTTATAAAAATGATCATTAGAAAAATTTTGCTATCTCTCTTAAATTCTGAGATATTCATCAAAAACTGGCCAAAAGTCAAAAATGACATAACCCGGTTTACCGCTTCGCTACTGAATTGTCCGTTGACAGACGTTCATCAACTTCAGATAAATGTCCACCACCTAAAATCGATCAGTTTCATGAATATGAAGGTATAGCCCTAAAAAAACGTTTTTCTTATGATTGTCCCTACTTTTTTCATCGATAATGTTTATAATAGTCCCCAGCTATTGAAGCAAATGCTAACTAGCTAGACTATACAGTTTAGGAGATAATAAATAATGAAATGCTTGCTTCTAACACGCGAGGCATAGGCCAGAGGGGGGTTATGAGTCCCCCTCGAACTCGATTTTTACATGTTATGAGAAAACAGTTTGTGTGTGTAAAAAACTGATCCGTGAAAGCTTGATAAATTCCGAACGCGGTGAATTTTTTGCGGTGATATTCAACTGTAAAAAATGGAAATTTCATGAAAGCATTGCTTATTCAATTCAAACAATTAAATAACGAATAAATTCTTATTTGATTCACACAGTTATTGTTTGCTTCAACAACATACGAGGATAGAAAGACTCAATAACTTGTGGGAATGCAATAAATTGAGTCATTTCGAATTTTTTCTGGACATCCATACTCTGAGAAAAAAAAATCCAATGTCTGAAGCATACTTCCTTGAGACAAGTTATTTTTCTTCAA